TTTTTTTTTTTTTTACGTTAATTGAAAAAAAAAATTCTTCTCTCGCGTTGTTACGCAAAAATCAAAGTGATCGAAGATTGCAAGAGGGCGGATCTTGTTTCGCGAGGTAACGCTCGGTGCAAGAAAGAGACGAGAGCTTCGGAAATGGCGAAACAATTATGAAGTCGTATAAATTGTAAATTGCAAAATTATGAATCGGTAATGCATGAAACCGCACCGTACGATATGTGGTTTTGTTATGGACTGAAACAAGTTGGAAACAGACCAGTCAGATAATGCGGATATTTCATTATAACATTATCAGCCCCAGAAATATTATTTTCATTAATTTGCAACGAGTGTATATATAGGTTTTGATGAATATTATTCTTTTCTTTTCCCGGCGTAGAAAGAGGCAATAGTCCGATCCTTAAATTGTATTTATCGAAACACTTAACATTTAATTGACAGATGTTAAAAAATAGACTCGAATTCTTCTTTCTCGATTTATTCAAATTGCAATTTTTATTCAAGTCCTTTCGATTTAAAATACTTTCGTCGTTCCTTCGCAAATACTTTGATTGCCACGATTATTTCCTTCTCTGCTTTAATGTAAAGATACTATTGAACGGACTTAGGCGACCGAGTGATTTTATTCGTTGGACAACTGGAAAGGGTGAAAGGAGTTCGTTGAACCCTCAGCGGATACGAGTTTCGATCGCATTTCGAGACGCGAAACCTTCAATTTGCATTATTCATTAGCAGTGCCTAATCAGCTTCGAATCTCCCCCATTAAGTTTGATTGACCGTGTATCCCTCATTACTTAATATTCCGTGTTAATTTTAGCCCCGACAGTGACTAAGCCAATTCGTTACCTGCACCAACACACCGAAATTGATAATTTCAATCGATAATCCCGTATCGATAATTTGCATTACAATAATCCGGCTCCGGCCTATATTGCTGTAAACTGTAAACAAGCATTTTATCCGACCATTCGAGGAAGCAGATTAAAAAAGAAATCGATCGATTAAATAAATTGTTGAATCATTGAACATTGCCGAGAGACAAGAATTATTCAGATCTGTTACGATCTAATAAACGACTTCCACTGCACCAAGCGGCGCAACTTTATTTATTTTCGTCTGCTGTTCAAGTTCCTAGAATACTTTCGAAATTTAGCGTTACGCTCACGAGCTAGTTGAAATCTCGAAACGTATCTTTCGTTAAAATTGATACGTTACGAGAGCGACTCTCTAACGTGACAGCCGTTCAATAGAACTAGCTATTATATGTCTATTAGTGCGCCCTATAAATTCAATAAAATCGCCAATGTGTCCGCAGGTTACACGCACGAGTCGTGGATCAACCACGAGGAACCACCCAAGTACGCGACGCTGCGCTCAGCGGCGGAACTGGCCCGACCAGTGGCACCGTCTCCGCCGCCTCCACCAGCCGCGCCTCAAGAGCTGGCCGCAGTGGTGACCGGGTCCAGCCTGCACCAACCACACCCGGCGGCACCAACACCGACAACTCCGTCGTCGTCGTCCACCTCGCTGAACCTGCCGCCGAGGAAAAGCCTGTCCATGTGTTTCACCAGTACAGGAACGGCGCTGTCGTTGCCCCCGAAGAAGAAGGACATCTACAGGCCGTACAGCCTCCAGCCGACGTCGGAGATCCGCACGTCGGCCGAGGAGGATCTGTCGGCCGCGCAGGCGATCCTCGATCTGAGCGCGTCCCCGGCTGCGCCCACGCACTCGGTCTTCATTCACACTTTATCGCCTCCGCCGCCGCCGCCGCCGCCGCCGCCACCGCCGCCACCGCCGCCTCCTCCTCCGCCTCCTCCAACGGCGACCGGCCAGCTGCAGCCGACACAGTTGCAGCCGGCGCCGAACGCGCAGCCTATCCCTGTCTCGGTGTTGGTACCGGTGCCTAGTTCGCAAACCAACCAGCTGCGACAACAGGAGCAAACCCCGCAGCCCCAGTCGCCGGCCACCGCGGAGGCCAACGCCAACAACTGCTCCGCCGGCAGAGATGGGTGAGTATCCAGGCTGGGAACTTTTATGTTCACAGT